GAGGTGATCTCAGATGGAGATGAGGAACTTGTTAGAAACTGGAGTAAAGGCCACTCTTCCTATGCAAAGAGACTGGTGGCATTTTGCCCCTGACCTAGAGATCTGTGGAACTTTGAACTTGAGATAGATGGTTTAGGATATCTGGTAGAAGAAATTTCTAAGTGGCAAAGTATTCAAGAGAAAGCATAGCATAGAAGTTTGGAAAATTTGCAGCCTGATGATGTGATAGAAAAGAAAACCCCTTTCCTGGGGAGAAAGTCAAGCCTGCTGCAGAAATTTGCAAAAGTAATAAAGAGCCAAATGTTAACCATCAAAACAATCGGGAAAATGTCTCCAGGGCCTGTCACAGACCTTCATGGCAGACCCTCCCATCACAGTCACAGAGGCCTAGGATGGAAAAATGGTTTCCTTGGGCAGGGTTCAGGGCGGCCTGCTGTATGCAGCCTCAGGACTTGTTGCCCTGCTTCCAAGCCACTTCAGCCATGGCTAAAAGGGACCAAGGTACAGCTCAGGCCATTGCTTCAGAAGGTCTAAGCCCCAAGCTTTGGCAGCTTTCATGTGGTGGTGGTCGCAGGTTCACAGAAGACAAGAATTGCAGTTTGGGAACCTCCACCTAGATTTCAGAGGATGTATAGAAACACCTGGATTTCCAGGCAGAAGTCTGATGCAGGGGTGGAGCCCTCATGGAGAACCTCTGCTAGGGCAGTGTGGAAGGGAAATGTGGGGTCCCCACACAGGGTCCCCAGTGAGGCACTGCCAAGTGGAGCTGTGAGAAGAGGGTCACCATCCTTCAGACCCCACAATGGTAGATCCACTAACAGCTTGCACCACACACATGGAAAAGCCCCAGACACTCAACACCATCCATGGAAGCAACTGGGGAGGGGGCTGTACCCTGCAAAGCCACAGGGCCAGAGCTGCCCAAAGCCATGGGAACCCAACTTTTGCATCAGCATGACCTGGATGTGAGACATGGAGTCAAAGGAGATCCGTTTGAAACTTTAAGATTTAATAACTGTCCTATTGGATTTTGGACTTTCACGGAGCCTGTAGCCCCTTTGTTTTGGCCAGTTTCTCCCATTTGGAATGCATGTATTTAACCAATGCCTTTACTCTCCACTGTGTCTAGAAAGTAACTAACTTGCTTTTGATTTTATAGGCTTATAGGCAGAATGGACTTGCCAGTCTCAGATAAGACTTTGGACTTGGACTTTTGGGTTAATGGTGGAATGAGTTAAGACTTTGGGGGACTGTTGGAAGGACATGATTCTGCTTTGAAATGTGAGGACATGTGATTTGAGAGAGGCCAGGGGTGGAACAACATGATTTGGCTGTATCACCACCTATATCTCATCTTGAATTGTAGTTCCCACAATCTCATGTTTTATGGGAGGGACTCAGTGGGAGGTAATATAATCATGGGGTTGGTTACCCTCATTCTGTTCTCATGATACTGAGTGAGTTCTTCATGAGATTTGATGGTTTTATAAGGAGCTTTCCCCTCTTTTACTCACTCCTCTTCCTGCTGCCATGTGAAGAAGGATGTGTTTGATTTCCCTTCTGCCATGTTTGTAAAATTCCTGGGGCCTCTCCAGACTTGCTGACCTATGAGTCAATTAAATCTAATTTCTTTATAAATTACCCAATCTCAGGTATGTCTTTATTAGCAGTATGAGAATGAATTAGTACAAACCCCTTAAGCAGTTTTTGTAGGGTTGGTCCACAGGTGATGAATTTCTTCAGTGTTTGATTATCTGTGAAATACTTTATTTCTCCTTTATTTATAGAGGGAAACCTTTCTGGGTATGGTATTTTTGGTTGACAGTTTTTTTTAATTTTTATTTTTCCCCAGCATTTTGAATATATCATCCTATTCTCTGCTGGTGTAAGGTTTCTACTGAGAAATTCACTGTTAGTTTGATGGACATTCTCACATAAGTAACCAGATCCTTTTCTCTTGCTGGCTGTTTTTAGAAATCTTTGTTTCTCCTTGACTTTTGACAGTTTAATTATAATGTGCCTTGGAGGATATCTTTTTGGGTTGTATCTCTTTAAGAATCCCTCAGTTTACTATATCTGGATGTCTATATTTTGCTGGACTTAGGAGGTTTTCAGCTGCTATCTTGTTTAATAAGTATTTTATGCCTTTTAGTTTCTCTTCACTTACTGGAACATTGAATATTTAAATATTTGGTGGCTTTATGGTGTCTCATCTGTCACATAGGCTTTGTTCATTCTTTTTAATTCTTTTTTTATGACTAGGTTATTTCAAAAGACCTGTCTTCAAGTTCTGAAATTATTTCTTTTGCTTGATCTAGTTTATTGTTGAAATTCTCAAAACATTTTATTTAATGCATTGAATTCTTCAGTTCTAGGAATTCCTTTGGTTCTCTCTTATATCTTTATCTTTGGTATATGTCTCATTCATATCTTGAATAATTTTTCTAATGCCTTTATATTTATCTGCATTATCTTGTGTTTCACTGAGCTTCTTTAATAAAATCATTTCAAATTATCTTTCTGGCATTTTATACATTTACTTTTCATTGGACTTTATTGCTGGAGAAATATTGTATTCCTTTGGATGTGTCATATTTTCCTTGCTTTTTCACGTTTCCTGTGTCCTTACACTGATATCTGTACATCTGGTTTAGTAGTTACTTCTTCTAATTTTTCATAGTTTCTTTCATAGGGGAGAATTTTTCCTGAAGGTATGTACATGAGTTGGGTGGGTAGGGAAATTTCACTTTGATTATGTGTGAATGCAATAGTATAGTCTCTGTTTGATTTCTCCAGAGGCAAACAGCGTAAGTAGTATTTGTGATTTTCTCAGTAGCTTAGGTTAAATTTGTTAGTAGAGACTTTGGTGAGGTTTTCCTGTGGACAGGGACATCACAGAGGCTACTCCTTGGGCTACATTTGTGACAGTGGTAAGATGAATGTGCTTGTCACTGGGCTCTTAGGCAGTGTATGCATGCAACAGTGTTAGCAAGTCCAAGCATGTTGATTCTTGGGCCTCAAGGCTGCTCGCTCAAGGGCTGGTAGTGGCGTTAGTGGGTTGGGGTGGTGGGTGGGTCCTTGGCTTCTGGGAAGTGTGCATGGCATGGGAAATGACTGTGATGGTGGAGGGACAGTCCTCAGAATCTCAGGCAACATGCACTTGTGTTATCAGTGACTGTGACAGGTTGGGTGACCCAGTCCCCAGTGCCCAGTTGGTATGTGCTGGTGAGTACTGGCTGTGATGGTAGCAGCATGCTGAGTGGGTCTATCTTCAGTCCCCTGGGAAGAGTGTATAGAAGCCAGCAGTGGTAGACAGGATGGGATGATCCTCAGGCCCCTGGGTGGTATGTTTGGGCACTGGCAGAGGAGATGCCAGTCTGTGTAGGACTGTCCTCAGGTTGTTGTGGGCATAGGCACAAGATGTGGTGGGCAGAGTGAGGTGATCCATACCTCTCTGGAAACAGTAGCAGCAGTGAGTATTGGAAGACCATCTGCAGGGCACATGCAAGTGCATTGCTGCTTTGCTTCTGGGAAGTAATTTGGTTTATGTCACTGGCAGCTGTCACAGGCAGTTAGCTCTCAGTCATTGGAGAGTATGGACTTTGCTCTTCAGCAGCAGGAGCAGTGGCAGTGGGGAGACCCAGTTCTCTGGGTGCGTGCAAGTGCATGGCAACCCTGCTGCTTTGGGTGCTGGGTTGTTGTCAGTGGCAGTGGCCATAGGCAAGAGGGTTTCAGGTTCTGGAAAGTGTGTCTTTTGGCTTCCTTTGTCCAAGGGCAGCCTCCTTGCTGCACGACACCACCCATTCCCTGGAGTGCACTACACTGTGTGCCAGAGTGATGGAGACTGTACTGATCCACTAGATCCAACTGGTGTTGCACTGCTTTAGCCATCCATGGTGACTCAGGGTTATGTCAGTGGGGGTCTAGGGATGTGGAGCTGTAGGGGGCTGTTGAGCCTCAGGGCAGAATTCAGTCTCCTGGGAGCTGATCTCTCAAAGTGTTGCCGTGCTGCAGCTGCTTAGGACATGGGTGCGTGTGTAGGACCCAGCGCTAACTTCCTCTTTGGAGCAATGCCTATTATGCAGTCTCCAGTGATGTTCTTATGCTACTATGAGAGCCTGCAAGGGTCAAGAAGGTCTCTTATGAATAGGGTTGTGGGAGTCCATGCTGGGAATGTAGCCTGCTGAGGATCTCTCACTTACCCTTTCCTTGCACGGGGTAACATCTCCAGGGTCTCAGGTAGTCCTAGCCAAGCTGGCTGCCTCACTTTCCTCTCTTTCTATGCCTTGTGTGTTTCCTGTCACTTTGTTGAATTCCAGTATTCTGTCTTAGATACTCTAGTTGATGTGTGATTATATGCTTGTTATTAGGGTTTTTCTTTGTGGAGGAGGCAGGTGTGGAATGCCTTTAGTGATCACATTGAAGAAACTCCCAGCTCTTGTTTTACTGTACTTTTCCATAGTGAATAAAATTATCTCTTTAAACTGTATTATTAAAAAAATTTTCAATAATTATTATCTACTCAAAGGGATCTTCCTCAGTCAAGAGATTATAGCATCTTGGTGCCTCATAAACTTATCTTCAAATTACTATGTCACTAGAAATCAACTTATAAATATTGGAATAGCTTAAATATTTCTCATATCATCTGAAATTATTACAATGCATAAAATATTACCAGAATTGGCCATCTAGTTATTTAAATGCCTGACAGAATTTATTGAGTTACAATCCTTTTTGAAAATTAAAAACAAAAATAGTCATGCTTGTATGTTTACAGATGATCAAATATTAACTATAGGTCAGACACTAATACAAAGAAATAAGTAACCCATAATATTTTAAAAATCTTTTTCATGTAGGTCATATTAATGATGAAAAGCATATAATAATAACATCCCAATGTAAAATTAACCTAGATATAGGAGCCCTTAATTATAATATCTAGTAGATTTAAAAGTTTCCCGGATAATGCAAGAATCTTTATTTCTGGTTTCACAGGCCGAAGGAGAGAGTGGAAGAGGTCAAACATGGAAGATTTAAAAACTGTTTTAAAAAATAATTCTATGTGAGTACTTTCACAATGAAATAAAATGATATTTTAATGGTTAAGATAATCACACACTTAAAATAATTACTTATAGTACTTATAGAGTGTCTTTTCATTAAATGTGAATTATAACCAAGAAAAATAATGGCTTTACCTTACATACAGGAAATCATAGAAATGGGAAATATTTCATTAGTTGTTCCTATAACTCTTCCTTAGTTAGAGCTGGAAATGAGTGTTGAAGCTCATTTAAGAGCCTGGGACTTTGACATGGAATCCTCTGCCTTTTCATTTCATTCAAGCTCTGCCTCTGAAAGCCTACTAAACCTTCCCTGGCCCTTCCGGATTACTGACCTGTGACTTCTACCACATATCTCTTCTGCCGTGAGCAGTGCTTTTGTCAGAGTCGTGGAAAATTCACTTAAGAAAGCAAAACAAGGAAATGAGATGAGCGTTTTTCCTTTTGACCCTCTCAACTATCCGGTGAGTTTCTGTCCAGGGTGTGTTGAGGGGAGTAGGACATTTATGTTCTTAGCAGACGGTAAACTCCATGTGGAGACATAGGGCTTCATACTTTCTTGCTTTTTTTCCTTGTCTCTCCCCAAGGGCTGCTCAACAGTTGAGGCTGGTTGACTTGAATTCCACCCTGAAGCTTATAAAGTCATCTCCGGGTTATTCTGCTATCAGTGTGGTTATTTCAGGGAAGAGAAAGGGACAAAGAGACTCGCTCTTTTGCCAAGTGCGTTGTTCCAGGATGAGCAGGCTAGAGGAAGGAAAAAGAATGCTTTATGCTTTAAGTGCCTGCCTTTTCAGCACAAGGAAACCTGCTGCTATTATTTTCTCTATAATGCACTTTGGTAAAGATACATAATAGACATTTATATAATGCATGTAAAAAGTCAGAAAACCAGAAAGTTCTCTGACAGTAACACCTTACAACCTGATACTGAAGAAAATATCCTTGTAAGATGAGCATTGTGCATTTCATAGAGATTGCTCTTTTAGTTCCCTAAGCTTAACTGGCAGGCCTAGCATTTCATTACATCTCATATAGCGACTGATTGCTTGGGGCCTCATATTCCTTTAAAAGTCATGCCTTTACTGCCTTTCAGTAATTGCATTCTATGTGTGCAATGATCTGAAAGCTATCTGAGAAGAAAGAGCATAATATTACATATATGTTAGAGAGAAATGCCAAACCCCTGCACCATTTCTTGACACTTGAAGATTTTAATAGTGCTGATTCAATTATAATGTAGTCACATCATTAATTTGTATTACCCTGGTTTGCAATTTCTATAGGCTTTTTAAAAGAAAAATAAACCCATTTAAATCTTTTTTTTTTTAATTTGTGGTTAATTAGGTAATTGAAAGGGTCAATCAAGGATTTACCAAATACATTTCTAAACCAATGCAATGGTTCTTGCAAAACATCCAGCAGGCAATAAATGAATTAAAGGAAAAGATATTTAATGCTATGAAGAGCATGCACTAAAATATATAAATCCAGGAAAAAAATTATACGTGAGGAGCAAACTGACAGTTTGTTAGAGCCCAGCTTTGAAAGTCCAAAGGAAGAGGAGAGCAGAAAAATGACATCAAGGCCATAACCAATATGAGTATAGGTCCAATTAATTTATTGACATAATTAACACATAGTAATGACATTACAGAAGCAGTCAGCTAGGAAGTGTTCATATACACCGTTTGAATGAATTCAAAAGAACCCTGTACTTATCATAATTAAATTAATCATTCTGGGAAAGCAACATAGACTATGGAGGCCATAACAGCAGGCCAAAAGTCATGCATCCAATTAATTTTCTCACCAAAATAAAACATCTAGAATTTTTATATCTCATCAAACTGAATCCATAAAACAGAAATTACTATGACTATCAGGATTGAGTGGCCCTCTTGTAACTCTAGCATTTGCGAAGCTCTGAACCAAATTGCCTCGTGGTTTATAAAAAAGAAACAGGAAAACATAAAAATGAAGTTTTTAGGTGAAGTGCATTCTCTTGGCCAAGCAAATTATTCACTTTTATATCTTTGCTTCTGGATACACACATAAAAATAAGAACTAAAAGAATTAAATTTAATATTTTCTAAATACTACATGAAGTAAAAGCAAAGTACGGAGAATACTCCCAACTGTATTTAAAATGATAGATTAAAAAAAACCTTTCTCACCTCTTTTCTTTAATTATGCTTTTAATGCTATTTGCTTTAATCTTGCACTGCTTTTGTTTACCTGGTGAGAAGGATGCAGACTTTTCTATCAGGGAGATGAATTTTGTCCTGATATGGTTGTTATATATTGAACTTGCTAAAGTCAATAAAACTTCTAAGCAAAGAAATGCAAAAATTAAAAAGGAAGGGTGATTTTTTTAGGGAAAAATTTAGACTCTAGAAAAATAAGAGATAACAGGTTTTGGTAGAAAAGTTCTTTAGTGTATGTCTCCTATAGTATATGCTTCCTATAGTGTATGCTTCCTAGTGTATGCAGAGGAAAAAATGTATCTTGGAAATTTAGGAAAATATGGATCTGCATATAACTGGATAACATGTAAATGTGGGTAGGGGTTGGGGGTGGGTGTGTTAGATATAAGTGGGAATTTTCAAATAATAGTTGTTATCACCCAGAAATAGAATATGATTAGTCCTAGCAGAATATCCGTTGAATCCAGAAATTAAGAAATGACTTTTCTAGGGTGATTTCTCCTTGGTTCTTTATCTCTCTGGATCTTTAAGGCTGTGATGAAATCTATGTTATTTGTAGCTATTTGACATATTTGTGCACAACATGCAAGAACAAGAAGACAAGATTTAATAATAACTCAATAATATATATTGTCATGCCGACCATCTGCCTGACATTCTTCTAAGCTTTCTACCCACAAATTAACTGTTTGCATCCTACCAACAACCTTATGAGATAAATATTATTTCCATTTTTACAGATGAAAAAACTGAAGCAAGGGGAGGTTAAGTTCATTGTCTAGCTTCCTACAGCTAGAAATGGTAAAGCTGAGATGTAAGCATTCTGGAGTCTGTGCTTTTAGCCATTTCACTTTGCACTTATTTTACATCAAACCTTGGAGGCAAGATAGCTCTTCTCAGTCTGGACATAGGAATTGGCATTACCTTTTTGCCTGTTCTCCTAGCCAACGATTAAGTAGTATAAAAGGCAAGGATGTGAGACCATCAGATGGACTGGTGGGCACTGGAGTGAATGAGAACGTTTAGGATAATTATACTTTCATTATAATACACTGCCCTTTTGGGGCGTCTTCAGATTTGTCTAGCCTACTGTTTCTGGAATCTGTGTCCACAGAAACCTGCCAGTCTGAGACCACAAGTGCATTTACGAAGGCCTCACTAGTGTTTGCCTCTGTCCATCCCCACCCTGAAATATTTTTTCATTTGCTTTAGATACTAGGGAAAGCACAGGAACCTATCTCGACTCTTGGGTGTTCAAGGAATGAGTAACATAGGCCAAGTCCTCCCCAAGATATTAAAGGGGATTATCTGGTACAATACTGACAGTAGATGGGAGAAGACGATGTGTGTCCTCAATGGGAGGCACAGCACCCCATGAGTGTCACAGGTTCTTGCTATGTACCCTGGTAGGCTGAGCCCTGCATTAATGTGAGTCTGAATTTTAGGGAGAAGGAGAATATAGCTGGGTTTTGAGAATTAGACAGTAGCAAGAAAGGACCTCCTATCTTTCATTCAGCTTCAGGTGCCTGGGTCAGAGCTGTCTGGGGGCTCTAAAATAAACACCTTGTTCTTTGACACATTGTCCATCATAGGAGCCTTCTTTTTCTTCCTGACAGGTGAGCAAAGCAAATCTCTATTTTTATTTAAAAATGTGCATGCATCTCTAAAATAGAGACTTAAAGTGGGATTTTCATCTTTCTTTCTTTCTTTCTTTCTTTCTTTCTTTCTTTCTTTCTTTCTTTCTTTCTTTTCTTTCTTTCTTTCTTTGTCTTTCTTTCTTTCTCTTTTTTTTCTTTTCTTTTCTTTCTTTTTTTTTTTTTTTGACAGAGTCTTGCTCTTGTTGCCCAGGCAGGAGTGAATCTCGGCTCACCGCAATCTCCGCCTCCATGGTTCAAGTGATTCTCCTGCCTTAGCCTCCCGAGTAGCTGAGATTACAGGCATGCGCCACCATGCCCAGCTAATTTTGTATTTTTTGTAGAGATGGGCTTTCTCCATGTTGGTCAGGCTGGTCTCCAACTCCTGACCTGAGGAGTCAGGAGGTCTACCAAAGTGCTGGGATTATAGGCGTGAGCCACCATGCTGGGCCTATCTATTGATTTTTTAACTGAGGTATAATTTTCATGCAGTGAAATGCAGGCATTGTAAGTGTGCAATTTATTCAATGTTGAGAAATGCATATGTCCCTGTAATGGACACCCTATCCGTATCTAGAACACTTAAATTCCCTTGTGCCCCTTCCAAATCAATTCTCACCCCCTCCCCACCAGAGGCAACCACTATGCTGCTTTTTTAAACTTGTATTACTTTTGCTTATTCTAGAACTTCAAATAAATGAAATCATATAGGGCTTCCTTCATTCATTGCATTAAAAAAATATTAACACTTATATAGGGCTTCCTTCATTCATTGCATTTTTTTAAAAAAAATATTAACTCACATTGTTGAGCATCAGTCATTTGTCGCTTCTTATTGCTGAGCAGTAGCCCTAGTATTAATATACCAATTAATGTATATATGGATTGTTTCCAGGTTTTGGCTATTGTGAAACAAGCTGCTCTAAACATTCTTGTACAAGTCATTTTTGGACATATATTTTCATTTCTATGAGAGGAATTGCTGAATCATACAGTAGTTGTTTTTGAAGGATGAATAGGACTTGTGAAGGTAGAAGGAATAATATATTCCAGGACAGAAGAATGACCTTAGCAAATGTACACAGTAGCACCACAGAGGGGTCAACATCAGTTCACGACACAAGCATCATGAAGGAAAATGCAGAATTGTTGGGGCTTGGCTGGGTGCCCATCCTGGATCTGTTTCCTAGAGTAAGCTCTTATTCTTGTTACTTATTTCATGAGTGACCCTAAATATCATGGGTGTTCTCGTTGCCCTGGAATGATTACTGTGATTATCTTTGTTATACAATCTCTCCCATAGAACCATGGTCAGAGTGGTGCCTGCTCTTGACAAGCTCCTACTGATATAATTCTGGCTCTGGGACATACCTCTGAGTAGCTTGAAATTTCTCTTAAATCATCTTACTTCTGGTATGCAAATGGCACGAGACGGTGGCCTTGCATTCCTGTTCACAAACTCTAGAATGCTCCAGAAGTCATTTCTTTACCATTATTTGTCAGTGTGACCCGTCTTTATTTCTTCAAAGGGCATTTACAGCTTGCTTCAAGGAAGATCGCTATCTTATGCGTCCTGAATATTCTCTGAAGTGCCCAAATCTCACCTTCTCAGTCAAATAACAAGTT